CGATCAATTTCTGGTTTGATCAATTTTTATCGATCAATTTCTGGTTGATCAATTTTTATCGATCAATTTCTGGTTGATCAATTTTTATCGATCAATTTCTGGTTGATCAATTTTTATCGATCAATTTCTGATTGATTAATTTGGTTCTTTTCGTTAGCTTATCTGAATTATATAAATTTCCATATAGATCACTTCTTGTTTGACGAGAAAATCATACCTCAAAAAGGTAAAAAGATACTTTAATTGCACTCTTAAAATGAAAAATACGGTAATAGCACTATTAGATGCAAAAAAAAAATGGTTCATTTCCTTTTCCTTTTCTTTTTTTTTTCATTTTAATGATACAAGAAATTTGCATTTTATTGATTAATTCTTTTTTTATATGATTAACGAGAATGGAATCCAAGATATCCTGTAATAATTCTTATTGAGAGAATTCCAAAAAGGAAAAAATCATGCATCCGGTATTCTTTGATCCGAGAAATATTTTTTCAGGTATGATTATGACGGAAAGCAACTGATAATACTTCTTCAATCAAACAATGTAAACAATACATTGTTTAAAATACTCATGGAAAGAATGTAAAATATGGACTCTATGCCATACATTTATCGATTTTTTATTTCAATTGAAATACTTGGGAAAGTTATCAAACGGTATAAAATGTAAAATGCTATCAGTTTAACTATTTTACTTCCTTTTATTTGTTTATTTGTTTGTTTGTTTATTTTTTGTTTATTTGTTTATCAATTGATAATAATGTTTGCCAGTTTAGTTAATTAATTGTTCTCATGTGTAATTTGTGTTATGCATTCATTCAGAGAAGTGTCACATCACATTCTCATGATGGTACATTCTTTCCATGAGTATTTTAAGATAATAAAATTCCTGCTTTGTATATTTCACTTCATCTGACTGTCGGATACTTTTTGAGCTATTTTATTCATCCCATACAAATTTCTAATAAATGTTTGATGGTAGAATATGAAAATGAATGGGATGAAATTTGTTTATTGGTTAATTTAAATAAGTAAATTAGAGTGCAAACAAAAAATTCGAATTCGAATTCAAACAGAATTTGAATTTGGCTTATTTCAATGATTGCGATGGTTTTTGATATTGTTAATGAATTATTTATTGTGGACATTTCATTATTCCAATAAGTTTGAATTTCCTTTTTTTTTCTTCCTTTTTTTGATAGATTATTATTTCATTAATAAATGATGAAGAATTGTTAACCATTTTACAAGCAATATTTGCTATGACTATGTGGTATCTCAATAAATTACACTTTTTTTTCACTTCTTTCAAAATCATTTCTTGTTCTCAAATATTTATTCAATCGTTCATTATCGTCGGCTACTAATTTTACTTATTATTATTATTTATTATTATTATTGTTATTATTATTATTATTATTATTATTGTTATTA